TTTTTTAATTGGATTATTTGTTTTATTTATTTATTTGTTTATTTATTTATTTATGGTGTTGAGTTGTATAATTTCATTTGCAAATATCTTCTCCCATTCAGTAGGTTGTTTTTTGTTTTGTTTTGTTGATTGTTTCCTTGGCTATGCAGAAGCTTTTAATTTTGATGTAGTCCCAGTATTTTATCTTTGCTTTTGTTGCCCTTGTCTCAGAAGACATATCTAGAAAAATGCTACTATGGACAATGTCAGAGACCTACTGCCTGTGCTGTCTTCTAGGATTTTAAGATTTCAGCTCTCACATTTAGGTCTGTGATCCATTTAGAGTTTATTTTTGTGTATGGTGTAAGAAAGTGGTCTGGCTTTATTCTTTTGCATATTGCTGTCCAGTTTTCCCAGTATCATTTGTTGAAGAGACTTTTTCCCACTGCATATTCTTGCCTCCTTTGTTGAAGATTATTGGTCACATAATTGTGAGATTTTTTCCTGGGCTTTGTATCCTGTTCCAGTGATCTATGTGTCTGTTTTTGTGCCAGTACCATACTGTTTTGATCAGTACAGCTTTGTAGTATAACTTGAAATCTGGGATTGTGATACCTCCAGCTTTGTTTTTCTTTCTCAAGATTGCTTTGGCCATTCAGAGTCTTTTGTGGTTCCATGCAAATTTTAGGATTGTTTACTGTAGTTCTGTGAAACATATTTTTGGTATTTTGAAAGGAATTGTATTAAATCTGTAGATTGCTTTGGGTAGTATGGACATTTTAACAATATTTGTTCTTCTAGTCCATGAGCAAGGCATATCTTTTCATTTGTGTCATCTTCAGTGTCTTTCATCAGTGTTTTATAGTTTCCAGAGTATGGGTCTTTTACCTCCTTGGTTAAGTTTATTCTTTGGTATTTTATTATTTTTGATGCAATTGTAAATGAGATTGTTTTCTTAATTTCTCTTTATGCTGCTTCATTATTAGTGTATAGAAATGCAGTATATTTCTATAAGTTGATTTTGTATCCTGAGACCTTACTAAATTAGTTTATTAGGTCTAGTCGTTTTTTGGTGGAGTCTTTGGGGTTTTCTATATGTGGTGTCATACCATCTACAGACAGTGAAAGTTTTACTTCTTACTGATTTGGATGCTTTTTATTCCTTTTTCTTCTCTGATTGCTGTGGCTAGGACTTCCAGTACTATGTTGAGTAAAAGTGGTGAGCGTGAACTTCCTTGTCTTGTTCCTGACCTTAGGGTAAAGGTCTCCATATTTTCCCACTGAATATGATGTTAACTGTAGGTTTATCATATATGGCCTTTATTATGTTGTTAACTCTCATAACTTAAATATATTTAATATGTAACAGGGTTAATATTCTTCATTTGTTTTTATATTTTTTATATAGTATAAAATATAGTATATTTTTATATTAGTTTTCATGTATCTGTGCATTTTTATATTCTCTTTAGAGTTCTCTCTGGTTTTTGGGTGAAATAGTCCCTCATGCTTAATTGCATGTATGTAACTATCCTAGAAATACCTCCTTCTGTTTGTCTTTTTTTTTTTTTTTTTAACTTCTGCTTCTAACTGTCGTTCTATAAACTAGTTGTAAGGGTCCCAGTTTGCAGACCTGGCAAATGGAAAAAAATAAGAACCATTTATTACATGTGTCGTATATAAGCACACACATGCTGTGTATATATGTGTGTGTGTGTGTGTGTGTGTGTATGTGTATATATATATATATATATATATGTTTTGTATGTATATGTTTAATGTTGTCAACTAGTATTTCCTTTTATTTTCTTTTTTTAAAAAAAATTTAAATGTTTTTATTTATTTTTGAGAGAGAGAGAGCCAGCAGGGAAGGGGCAGAGTGAGAGGGAGACACAGAATCCGAAGCAGGCTCCAGGCTCTGAGGTGTCAGCACAAAACCTGATGCGGGGCTTGAACCCACAAACTGTGAGATCATGACCTGAGCCGCAGTTGGACGCTGAACTGAGCCACCCAGGCGCCCCTGCGAACTAGTATTTCTTGAGAAGGATTTTTGTTGTTCTGAGATTATGCCCTATAATGGCTTTATTTGGGGGTCGGCGGGGGGAGAAGGGTTGCCACCTTGTGTTGGTCTCCAAAATTGTTTTTAAAAGTTACCTAATTGTAAAAATCTAAAAATACGGGAACTGCTACTTTATCTCACACTGTAATGACTTTCTTGGCGGTAGTGGTATAGTAACAGGGCTGTTTTGGTCACCGAAAAGCATACAATGAAGTTACAGCTTATGGGGGTTAGGTTTTTTAACATCTGGGTGTAATAAAAATATAACATTGAATCAGGATTACTTTTACAAATTACTTAGAAAAGGATGTCACCACGATGGTGACTTCTCAGCAAGTCCAGCATAACCATTTTTTCCCTGAATCACTGGAATAGATTATTTCTTTGCGTGGAAATAAGCTAGAGCAGTTTGCTTTTGTTTAAGGGCAGTGTTGCACAAAACTTATCCATCTTTCACTGTTAGAATCACACTTTCCATGGGGCGCCTGGGTGGCGCAGTCGGTTAAGCGTCCGACCTCAGCCAGGTCACGATCTCGCGGTCCGGGAGTTCGAGCCCCGCGTCGGGCTCTGGGCTGATGGCTCAGAGCCTGGAGCCTGTTTCCGATTCTGTGTCTCCCTCTCTCTCTGCCCCTCCCCCGTTCATGCTCTGTCTCTCTCTGTCCCAAAAATAAATAAACGTTGAAAAAAAAAAAAATTTAAAAAAGAATCACACTTTCCATTGAGAGCTATTCACTGAGAATTGAAACCGAATAAGAGATTTACATCTTGCATCCCATGCTTTCTGCTGGACTTACTCTGGCTCAGTGGTAGCATGTTAGGCAGAATCCTTACCACTTAGTGTTTTCTCTCCTCTTTCTGAGCATCTTCTCACTCATGACCCACTTCAGTAAAAAAATCAGGGTTCATGGAGGTGTTAGGATGATACTTAGAGTAGTTAAATTTGAGTGAGTATGGTTGAATATCTAAAATGAGTTTTGGAGACTAAACTAAACACTTGTTTCAGCAGTGCCACAATAGTATTAGGTTTCCTGTCCACTTAAACTCCTTAAAACAAGCTTATCTATACCATTTACCGTACATGTACCATTTATACCTTACGTAGAATGTTTTCTTTATAACTGTAATCAACCAGTTAAAACCTCCTGAAAGTATGACATGAATAATGGAATGTATACTAACTGGTTCTTTTTATTTTGTTGTTGTTTTACTTTAAAAAAACATTTTTTTTCTTTTAAGAAAAAAATTTTTTTTGTTTTTGTTTTCTTTTGTTTGTTTGTTTGTTTATTTAAGTAATCTCTATACCTAACGTAGGGCTCGAACTCACAATCCAGAGATCAAGAGTCATAAGCTCTGGGCTCCTGGGTGCCTCAGCTGGTTGAGCAACCGACTTGGGCTCAGGTCATGATCTCGAGGTTCTTGAGTTAAAGCCCACATCAGGCTCACTGTTGTCAGGACAGAGCTAGCTTCAGATCTTCTGTCCCTTACTCTCTCAAATAAAACAACAACAAAAAAACCCAAACAAACAAGAGTCATTCACTCTGCTGACTGAGCCAGCCAGGTGTCCCTAAAATACTTTTTATTTGAAGAGATTGTAGACTCACATGAAGTTGCACACACAATACAGAGAGGTCCCTTGTACCAATCACCCAGTTTCTCCCAGTGGTAATATCTTACATAACTAGAGTTATCAAGACTAGAAGATTGACATTGGCACGCTACAATTAACGAGCCTTCAGTCCTTATTCACACTCACCGGTTTTTGCATGCACTCGTGTTTCATTTTCTTGTATGTCCGATGTGTATAATCCTGTGGTGTTTAAATTTTTTTTTTTTCAACGTTTATTTATTTTTGGGACAGAGAGACCGGTAACGTGAGGGCAGAGAGAGGGAGACACAGAATCAGAAACAGTAGGCTCCAGGCTCTGAGCTATTTGTGCCCAGAGTCTGACGCAGGCTCGGAATCCCCTCACGGACCGTGAGATCGCGACCTGGCTGAAGTCGGCGCTAATCAGAATAGAAGGCCAGCAGGCTACTTTTTTTTTTTTTTTTTTAATTTTTTTTTTTTTCAACGTTTATTTATTTTTGGGACAGAGAGAGACAGAGCATGAACGGGGGAGGGGCAGAGAGAGAGGGAGACACAGAATCAGAAACAGGCTCCAGGCTCTGAGCCAATTCCTGTGGTGTTTAAAAAAATAATTTTAAGAATAGTTTGGATTTACAGAAAAGTTGCAGAGATAATAGAGGCTTCCCATATAGTTCTCACCCACTCTCTCCTATGACATATTATGAATGATGATATCTATACAGTAGATTTGTTACAGCTAACAAACCTACTTTGGTATATTACTATTAATTAAACTCCACATTTTATTCAGATTTTACTAGTTTTCCCCTAGTGCCCTTTTTTAGTTCCTGGATCCCATGCAGGATACTACATCACATTTAGTCATTACATCTCTTTAGACTCATCTAAATTCTGACAGTTTTTCAGATTTTCCCTTGTTTTTAATTATCTTCATAGTTTGAGGAATCCTGGTTAGTTATTTGTAGAATATCCCTTAATGGGACATGGTTTAGTTTGTTTGTTGTTTTTCTCATGATGAACCTATAGCTCGGATTATAGGCTTTTGAGAGAAGACCACAAAGGTGCCATTTTTATCATATCGTATCAAGAGTACATGCTATCAACATGACTTACCGTGTTGATGTTGAACTTGATCACCTGGCTGAGGTCATGTTGGCCAGGTTTTCACTATAATTAGTCTCCTCACTTTCATACTCTATTCTTTGGGAGCAAGTCCCTCAGCACAACTTATATTCAAAGGGTGGGGGGATTTCAATTCAACTTCTTGGAGGGGGGATTATCTACAGAAATTATTTAGAGTTCTTCTGATAGGTACTTTTAAAGTTTACGGAAACCGCATGAGTACTGATATCAGTCTAACGTATCTGTTCTTTGCAGGGTGGGAAACCCCGTAAACACCGGAAGGATCGGCTACAAGATTTAATTGATATAGGCTTTGGCTATGATGAGACAGACCCATTTATTGATAACTCAGAGGCTGTGAGTAATGTATCTTTAATATAGCAGCAATTCTTTGTTTGGGATAGAAGTCAAGGATAAAGTTACTAAAATAGTTCAGTATTTGTTTTTACTAACTAATCCCCTATTGACGTCCATCTAAATTGTTTCTACTTTTTTATGTGCTTACGAACAGCTGAGCATCTGTGTACGTTTATCTTTGTGTACTTGAATAACTATGTAAGATAATTAGAGAGTGCAAATGTATGTACAGGATAAATTTCTAGCAGTGGGGTTTATTCATTAAGGGTATTTACATCTTGAATTTGTATTGATATTCCCAGACTTGGGTAGGTGTAATTTCAAATGGCTTCCAGATAAGACCCATATGAATTTGAAGATTGGAGCTGCTGGGTTGAAGTTAATCTGGCAGACATCTTTAAAATGTGCTTCATTTTTTCATTACTGCCAAGCCTTAGTACAGTGGTGGTGATTGAATGCCAGCCTTTATCAAACCCTATCTGTTTTGTTCCAAGCCCTACAGCTTTTTCCCTGGAATCTTCTTTCTTTTATAAAATGAAGAGGACTTTAGGAGAGCATTTAAGGACTATAACAATCCATTGATCACATAGCAAACAAATGCAGGCATATTGTGTTTGGGGGTAGGTAAGGTGTATGTTCTTACATTCTTCTCAGTGCACTGGAGAAATCTAAACAAACCCTGGACTTATGGCATCCTCTGCATTGTTCAGTGATTACTTAGAATACACAGAAAGGGACACCAAGGTAAACATTGTAGTACTACCCACAAATTAGTATTTCTTTTTCCTGTTACTACAGTGCTTGGTTGTATAGATGATGATAAGGCATATAGTGGTAGGAGAATCATAGAACTTCCAGCAGGAGGCATACTGGATACCCTGAGTTGTTTCAGTGTTCTGACATAAACTGGTTTACCATACCAGGCAGCCTGTTCTATAGGAGTAAAATTTGGCAATGCCCTTTGGAGTAGAGAAGCCTTCTTATTACCAGAAAGGTTGACAAACCTTTTTGTAGATTAGGGCATGGGATGTTTTTAAAAGTCTTGACCTTGATTTGAAATACAAGTCAAAATTCCTAGATTCTAGACTCAACTCGGTTTCTAAAGATTTCTAGACAAATCTTTTAGCATTGCTCAGTTTTCTCTGCTACAGTCAGAATATTTGAATATGGTGTTTTTCATACTGACTTTTGCAACCCATAACTGGATTACATATCACTTTAGAGAGTGTGGCCAGCATTTTTAACAAAAGTGAAGTAGAATAGAATAGGAGCTATCATAGTAAATCATAGTAGATTATGTGAGTTTTTTTTATGTGTGTGTGTACACACTGGGATTTGATGTGTAACATATTTCCCACTTGGGTTGTGGTGAAAAAAAATTGAAAAGTACTGCCTTAATAAATAAGGGTAAGTTTTGTATGTAAAAGTTGTTGAACAAAAATTATTTTATTAGTTGCTGACATTTAGAGGACAAGGTAGGTTCCTGTTTAGTAAGAGGAAATTGAACTAGATTACAGGTTGTTTATTGACTCGCAAAATAATTTTGTATTGTTATTCTTACAGATTATTGGGTTCTTATGAGATAATTCAGACATAAGACAATTATTATCCAACCAAATGATTTTCTGTTCTTTTCATTGATTGTAAGCTTTCACTGTTTGTAATTATTTGATAGTGAAAATAATCTGGTTCTAATTAATTTTCAGAATCATGTACCACTTATAAATACCTGAAAATAAATGCTTTTAAAGATTATTTTTAGTCTCACTTATGCTGCCACGTTTTGTGAAGACTGAAAGAAAATGTTTTTCTTTATTTACTAATAAATAATAATACCAGGCATGAATAACACTTTAGTTTGTCTCTTGTAAATTTCACTAGAACGTTGTGAAGTAAGTGATGTTGTCACTGTTAGACAACTCCAAGATATCCATGTTAAGTGATTTCCTCTGGGTCACAATTGCTAATCATTGGCAAAGGATCTAAATCCAGGCCTTCTGATTCTCAAGTTCAGCGTTCCATTGCCTCTTAACACATTCTACTTGGATGGCTAAATTAAATATGCATAAAGAGCTTGTTCTCCTGGAGAGTGTTCTGATAGGGAGAGCTTAGGAAACACTGCAGCAGACCGATGTTGAACACACCCATGTTGCTATGTAACGTGGTGATGAATGTGTTTCCCACTGCATGATGTAGTGGATGGTTTGGGATACAGCCAGAGCCTCTACCATAAGCTTATAAAATTACTCTGGGGGTTCTTATCCTCTCTAAATTTGGTTTTCACTTATAAAACGCCTTTTTTGCCTCACAAAGGTATCAGGAGGGCCAAGTGAAATAATTTATATGAAGAAGCATTGTAAATTATAAAGCAGTGTAAGCAAAAAGTAATGTTTGTCACGGTTACACATTTCCAAAATAATTACTACAAAGTCTTTTCACTTCTAATTCTTTCTCTTCACTCCTTTGCTTACAGATAGTACCGGACCCTTTCTGAAGGTCTTACCCGTAGATCTTTATAGTAGCCCGTCAACTGAAGCAACAGGAAAGGGATTCATTCCTTTTTTTGACTCAGTATGATTAAACTGGAAATTCTTTTTCTATTTACCATTTAATTTAAAAGGATACAGGTTAAAAGCAAAAACTTTTGCATGTAGCCTTAATGTTCTTACAGTAACTAGTACATTCCCTATATTCCTTGTCCAGTGCAAAGGATCTGCTTAAAATCTGCCTTTCTTAAAAATATAAAATATGAAGAACCTATAAAGTAGAGTTCTGGGGACCTTAAGTAGCAGGTATCTTGCTTCTATTAGATAAGTAACTCGCTCCATTTTTCTCAGCCACTATGGACTCCCATCATTTGGTTAAGATTGACCCTCATTTAATGTTTGCTTTTGTCCATTTTCATCAGGTGAGAAATGATAAACTTTAAAAATCCAAGCTTAGAGGACATCAGCTTAAGTGTTATTTTAGGTCAGACCTTCTATCTAATTTAGACAATTTGCATCTCTTGATCCAGGCAAAGTACCTGGCTCATTATAGTGTATGCTTACTGAACTGGGCAGTTATTTTTCTGTTGCGTTTTTAAACACATATGTTATTTTATGTTTTAAACTTTTAAACAATTTTCTTCATTTAAAAGCTTAGAGCTAAGACATAAGAAATAACTTTGTTATTTATAATCTTATGAATAAAATTATATACTGATATGGTAGGAAATGAAATTTATTCCTTTTCTGTATGTTTAGTCATCTATTTTAACTTGTTTCAATTTCTCATCAGAATCATTTGTCTTTGGGGCACCTGCCTGGCTCAGTCAGAGCATACGACTCTTGATCTCTGGGTGGCGAGTTCGAGCCCCACAATGGGCATAGAGATCACCTAAAAAATAAATAAAGGTTTGAAAAAAAAATTTGTCATTAAGAATAGTAGCAGTGATCCTTAAATTTTTCTCAGCAGATGATGGATATACTGAGGATTTGCTTCATTATTCCAGAATTTCCTTTCTTTATATATATATATATACTGAGTACTCTGGGCTCATTTTTATCCTAGATACTAACTTTTTCTAAATTTATTCCACAAACATCCTCATTGCAGTCAGTTTTGTAGTTAGGATTTATGGATTTCTTTGATGTATTTGTAGAATTAATAATGGGATATATCTGAAACATTTTATTTTAAATATAGTATGACGAATTAGTTCCTGCTTCTCTAACAACAAAATATGGAGGCTTTTACATCAACACTGGCACTCTGCAGTTTCGCCAAGCTTCAGATACTGAAGAAGAAGATATTACAGACAACCAAAAGCACAAGCCCCCCAAAGTGAGTTTATCCAACACTGCAATGGTAATGAGAGTGTTCAATAAATACGGTATACTTTTTGAATTTACTTGTGGATATGACAAAAAGTAAAATGCTAACCATTGTTTAATAAATCTGTAGTTATTTACCTGCTTTGAAGTAAAGCTATGTAGATAAAGGGAAAAATTGATATTTACATCATATGTAATTGTATTTTCTTTTAAGACTTCTCTCTCCATATGTGGTCTAATAATCTACTGTTTGGGGGATAAGGGTAAGTTTCTAGGATAGGTTAAGACTTGGTGTAGACATTAGCTTTCCTGAGACAGCTAATTCTATTTAAGATATATATGGTTTTAGGAAGTGAATAGTGTGTCCTTAGGTGTTTCTTGAAGCGTGATCCAAAGACTGACTTGTGCCAGAATCACCAAAATGTTTGTTAAAAACTAGGCAGTACTCAGAAACAAAAACAGGTAGTACTCATAGACCCCAAGAGTCTGCATTTTTATTTTTTTTATTTTTATTTTTTTTTAATTTTTTTTTCCAACGTTATTTATTTATTTATTTATTTATTTATTTATTTATTTA